TTTTTTGCTGATATTCGCTAATTTTTCCTTCCCTTTTCGCCAAGATATTATTACTGAAACAATTTTTTTTCAATCAGCACAAAGTATTTAATTATTTTTTTGTATTATTCAATTGTCATCTTTGTAATTTTCTTCGTTATACAGCAACCCGATGACAGTTTTCCAAACGCCGCAATACACGTCTTCCCCCAAAATGTGAATGCACTTAGTTTTTGCCATATACGTTTTCATCGGAATAGGCAATGTACAGGAAATAATCTTCTTCGTGATGTTCCTAAAATTAATATTAAATTTTAAAACTATTTATACATACAAAACACTTGTATATATTTACCTGATATAGAGATCCCATAGTAGCCGATGTTGGTGGAATTACATTGTTAACGAAGAAGAACAATGCATCTTCGGGGCGCAAATGTATACGCTTGCGAATTAAGAAGTAGAATTGACCAACTGTTAAGTCAGATGGAACCAAATACTTCTTCTTATCTAAATCACCAATACGTGCCTTAGGCGCCTTCTCCACAATGACCTGTAAAAGTTGAGAATAAAATTAAATTGTGCCTAAATTTGTTGGTAATATTTGAAAGTTTTAACTTTAATCTAAAATTTGTATTTCTAACACTCAAAAGTACATACAAGCACTGAATAGTTTTTATGAACAGTAGTGACTGTGAACTCAACAAGCACTAAATGAATACTGAACTATGACCTTGTAACAAGAAATTGACGTCCTTAGATATAAGAACAGGTATACAGAACTGAAGAAGGGATATGTAAATCACACTTGCTCTTTCTTTGAAGAATACCTGATTTAACGTTAGGCTTTTGCGTAGGTAACAGAGCGGTCATAATCTTTACAAAGGACTGTTTCCAAATTCTCCAAGGCAGATTGCACCAAAGTTTCTCGTCAAACAATGGGACTTAATTTTAAAATCCATTGAACAAGAGAAAACTCTTATGCAGCTAGGAAACTTTGGAAATATAAATTTAAAAACACATGTGCGGGCATAGATAAATTTCTGGTTTCTTGTGAAATGCATATAAATTAATCAAAACATGACTAACTACAAAAGATATTTGTAGCAATTTTCACAATTTAGCTGTTACCTCCTTTCGGTAAAGCACTTATAGTACGAAATTCGGAAAATGTAACAGATTTAAAAAATTGCAAAGAAATAAATATAAAAGAAAATGAGAAAATATTTGTGTATATAAACACATGTGAACAAGTCAAGCCATAAATACACGTATACCAAATAGGTAAATTTATATGCGCAGTAATAAGGCCGAATAGAATATATACATATGTATGTACAATACAAAACAAGAATCGACAGTTTAGTATATATACACACATGTATACTTTTAAATATTCTCTCTAAAATGAGTATACAATTAAATTTCACTCTTTGCAAGGCAGCATTATGTTTAATGTTTTAGTTCGCATTGACGTTTTCGCTTTTTTTCATTATAAGATACTTGTTTGACCACTTTGCATACAAAAAAAGTTGATCAGCTGATAATTTAGGAATTCTAAATTTTTGTATAATGAAATGTTTTGATGTTTATAACCTTTATACATTATCTTGTCGTCAATATTTTGTTTCGACATAGTGACCTTGGGAAAACATTTGGAAACGCTTCAATTTGTTTTTCATTTCTACTGCTGTATTATACTCCACAGACATTATCCCTATGTGAATCACTATAAGTTTACGATACCGTTGGTAACACTGCTACCGAAAAACACATACGTATATACATTTGTATTATTGTTGAAAATGTATGCATATGCTACTCACTGCGTACACAAAGTTGTATAAAATAATATACAAACAATATATACTTGTTTACAACAAAACATTTATATATTATCATACATTTTTTAAGAATCTATTTTCTATGACGCAATTTTTACATTTTTTATTGCATTTTATCCCCGCCCCCCACTTAGCTATTTTCGTAACAAAGAAAACCCCATACTCCCTTAACGATCGCACGCATATACATATGTATGTATATTACTTTCTAAGTTTGCATGGAATCATTACCGACGAGTATATTATAAAATTGCATACAAATGCAAGGAAATTTTTCATTCTACTCACTGGTACACGGTCTGGATACTTCCTACGTATTTTGTCACCTTCAGCACGTCTCTTTTCAAATGCATGGTCTTCCTTGTATTGAAACTTCATTTTTGTATTTTAATTATATTTCTTCTGTAGCAGTTAAGTAAATTATATTTTCAAGTTCCCGACTTCACTAAATTTTCACAACTTCCTGCTCGTTCAAGAGTATTTACGTTGATATTATGATTTGCTCCTTACTCGTTGAGTTTTCAATACAAAATGTCTTCTTCTGAAATCGACGACTAGAAGCATAAAACTGAGTAGCGACATCTACAGTAATATCGTGACGCAAATTTCTAGTGTTGCATGTCGTTCGTGAATATAGTAGAGTAGTAGAGAGTTTGTATAAAAATATTAATACTTGTTAAAAATTTGTTAAAAACATCAATTAATTATAATTGAGGATGTATTTATTAATCAGTTAATAGCATAGCGCTGTTGAAAAATGTATTATTATGACATGAACGAAAAGTGATCATATTTCGACACATCTCCCAAAAGCAACTCTTCTCACTCGATCAGTGCTGCCTTATATATCATTCGTCATAGTAATCAGCTGTCATTTAACAAAAATATTTATTTTCCTTGTGGTAATTTCCTCGTAGCAAATTTATTCATAAATCATTGTATTTAAGGAGTAATTTTAAATAAAAATGACGAGCCAATCCACAGGGATCCAACAACTTTTAGCTGCCGAGAAGAAAGCAGCAGAAAAGGTTACCGAAGCTAGGAAACGTAAGTATATTTTCACCTAAAAGCAATGCTGTTGCCTCGCTGCCGACATAAGCGGATGTTCTTATTAAGCATTTGAGGTCATAATTAGAAAATATTTATAATTCGCTACACGACTAGGCAAGGCAAAGCGATTGAAGCAAGCGAAAGACGAGGCGGTTGAGGAGATTGAAAAATATCGTGCAGAGCGCGAACGTTTATTGAAGGAATATGAAGCAAAGGTGGGTTCCCTATAGGAAATGTGGAATTCAACACTAATGCGCCCATTCTTTTACAGTACATGGGCTCACGAGAAGGAGTTGCTTTAAAAATTGACCTGGAGACCCAAAATAAAATGGAAGAACTAAAAAAGGCGGTGGAGAATCGGAAGGATTTATTAATCAGTGATCTTTTAGATCTAGTTTACAACATCAAATCGGACGTCCATAGGAATTATTCCAAGAAATAACAGCCATGAAATGGTTAAACCAATGATATTTTATGTTTGATGAAAATTTCAGTCGGAAGACACACGTTGTGCATGTGCGAATTTAATAGTAAACTATACGTAGCTCTATTTTTTTGAATTAAATACTCGAATGCTTTAATTTTAATAGTCAACGTCTAAAATAGTTTAAATTTGTTAAATTAAAAAAAGTTAATTTAATTTTATTTAACAAACTATTAATTTTCAACTAGTCAATATACACAACTTTACCAAATTTTTCAATAAAATACATATTTAATGCACGTAATAAAAAAAGTATTAATTTTTTTTATGATCGTTGAATAATACCAGAGAACGTTTATCATCATGATAATACAATCAAAATCGCAAAAACCTCGATTTTATAAAACTTCTATTTTAAATTTCAACGATCTGTCAGCACTGTTTTCACTCGTTGTCATTGACGAAATTTTTTGCAGCGTTTTGAAGGGATCCTAAAATTCGTGAAAGTTCACATTAATTTTATTACAATTATCTCGAAAGAAATTGTAGAATCATTAGCAAACTGTTAATTAAGTATTGCAAATCAGCTTTGCAATTATAATAATAGTTTTCTCTGCTTAAATATGGTAAGTTTACAAGTTTAAAGTTTGCAATATTTCATTGTAACTAGCGTCGGCAAAGAAAATGGCGTGGAATTTGTAGCGAATTGAATTGCAACATGAATATTACGGATATTCAAAGATTAAACTAAAACAAATGTAAAAACATTATAATGAATTTTAGTGAGTAACAAATAATATGGATATATAAAGCTCTTTGCATTTCATACGTACGGCGGGAATTTGTGTGTGTATACTAAAACTTTCAATAAGTCAGATGGCATTACTATATGGTATTCGCCGCCGTTCCAACGCGTATATACCGGGTAATAGGTGGGCTATTATCTACCCCTCGCCTTTCATTCAAACAAAAAATAAATAAAATGTGGTTTTAACCTTGATGGGGTTTACGCAGTGCACGTTTGACTTAACGATTCGCTTGTGCATACATTTCGATACCATTTTCGCATTTGGAGTATAACCATTTTTATATTTTGTTCCATTGTAGAAAATCAAAAAATTTCGTTTTTATTTGTTTATTTTTTATAGGGTTCCAATGAACGAGAATCGCGGTCTTCAGAGTCACGTTCAGATGATCCACTAAATGACGGCATGGTGCCATCAAAAAAATCTCGCTCGGATTCGGGTAAGTGCACTATGTATATTATATTACATTTATAGATCAATTATTATTTTATTTATTCGATCATAATAAATGGTAACAAAGTATACTTGAAAGATACAAACATACGTTTGTGTATTACGAAATTGTTACGAGGGTCTTGTATGTTACGGTTTGCTTGATTTTTTTTACTACCGAAAAATATTGTCCAGTATGAATATGCTTGTGTTTATAGTATTATAATACATAATAATTTGTAAGCAGCGTAAAGCGTGTGGACTAAAACTAGTTAGGTAAAGAACGTAAAAACTAACCTTAAAATAAGAACATAAATTGACCGAATTTTTCAAAGCTTTAACAAAAATTCGATCTGTTTCACAATAACATACTTACACATCCTCACAGCCCATCAACTGTATTTTACTAAATAATCGGTTTTGTTTTTTCTGTTCTGCTTAAGTAATTGCAGACTTTAACGCTTGTGATGTTCTCAGGGTCAGGTGAGACTTGCTCTTCTGCTTGCCGTGTAAGCTAGCGCCTATTGAAAAAAAGTAAAAACACTGCAAGAGTTGAGAGAAAACAAAATATATTTAATAAAACGCTTTAAAATCGTAAAAAGAAATTTGTCGACGATAATAGTTAAGAAAAACTAAAATGTTAAGAACAAAAAATATGCTTAACTATACATTTAGTTTTGAAAATGGTTGATACACTTTCAGAAAGGGCAACAATAACGTATAAAGTTGGTAAATGTCATAAACAAGTACTTTAACTCAAATTCAGTAAATGGGCATGTAAAAATGCTACAACAGCGTAATACATGCGAAAATCGCCATTGTAGTGGTCATCGAGTAAGACTGACGGTGTTGTGGTTTGATTTATGAGTGGCGTCTCCACGTTTATAGCCAACGCTTGATGTATGTTTTTTTTTTGTAAAGTTGCTGATGTTTTCGAACTAATGACGCATTTTGATTCTCTCTTCTTCTCTTTTCTTTTTTATTTCTTTTTGTAAGTATATTTTTTAGTTCAATTTCTCTGCCTCTGATTCCATATTGAACCGGTGCAGGTGTCATACGCCTACATCCTGCAAAGCACAACTATTACATCGTTCTCCCGACTGCACTAATATCAACTTTTTAATTCGAACATCATTGAAACGCCGTTGCATAAATTTGTATATTTGGATTTTTTATGCAAATATTTAACTGGTATCCAAAAATATTTAGTTCCGCTTTTCTTTGACTAAATTTTCAAGAAAAAGATTAACCCATGTGATCCATTATAAACGGAGAAAAACGACCAAGTTATGACTGTGATCAACGTTTTTATTCTTCGTATATAATATACAACTTTTCAATTAACTTTATAATAAGGAAGTTTGAAAAGCGAGTAGTATATATCAGCTTGTACAAACTTACAGTTAAAAATTTTGTTAGTAAAGGTATATATTATGTATATATTTTGTTTTGTTTGGATAACTTTTGTTTTTGAAAATATTTCTATAAACGTAAAAAAATTTAAAACTTTTTAGATACTTGCATGCTAATATAAATTTTTAAATCCAATTGTTTTGTATATTTTTTTTTTCTTCTAAAGTGCAAAAAAATTTAAATTCTTCAGTTATTACAAAAAAACTGCTTTTGCATATACATAAATACATACTTTCATAAATCGAGATGTTCTATTTTCTCCACCCCTAACCAGTGCTTCTGGAAGAAAGCTATAAATTACCCATGTTCAAATGATTTGTTTTCACAATCGACAGAATTTAGTATAAATAAATTACATTTATAGTACATGCGTAAAAAAATCATAAATATCCCGAAATTCCTTAATTTTTTTCACTGTTGCTCTCTTATTATCTTTTCAGCGGATTTTATTTCTTTTTTTATTTTTTTCTCTTTTATTAAACGTGCCCTTGAAGTGATTCAAAACCACACTCACCCACTTCTCACAGTGACAATGTATAAATGTGTCCAATAAAAACGTTTAAGCCAATTGCGTTAGCATCACCAAATGTTGGAGAGGGCAAGAGATTTTTGAGATGAAATAAGGTCGCTTCATTAATTCTATTCTATATTTCTGTACTAGTTAACTATATGGTACGCGGAAAGGGGATTTACATGTGATGAAACAGAAGTTCTATATTTTATAAAAATGTACATTTACATAATTTTCTTTAAATATTTGAAGAGTAACTACTTTGCATAAAATTTCTTGAATTTACACATAAATATATTTGATTATAAAGTGTACACTACGACAACTTTTAATACGTTCATAAAATTGGCAATAATTTTGTACATTTTTGATAACCATTAAGTCCGTTGGTCCGTGTTATTTTTAAATTCTTACTTTGGCATACGCGCACTTCAATTTTCCGACCGGTATAATTTAGCCCTATCACTAGTGCCATTCATTTATGCTTGTGTTATATTGTATGTATGTTTGTATGTATTTTTCATCAGCTTTTTGTGTCATTATGGGCATTTAATACCTAGCCATAGCCGTATATCTAAGCCTAAGTTCAATTTAAGCATTTACCAGGGTATATTTGCGTAAATCCCCGTTCCGTGCATCTTTCTTATTACATGTTTCATATACAAAAAAGTCAATTTGTTCACGTATTTTGGATTTATACAGACTACTACGTATTTTATTTTAATTTTTTTAATGTTTGGGTGCTTTTTTCTTTCATTCTTACATTTTGCAGCTTTTCTCAAAAATAAACCAAAAATATGACATACAAAGAATGAAATGTCTTAAGTCGCCAAAAATAAATTATTAACGCGTGCCACACATTGCGTATGAAAAGTATGCGTTAAACAAATGAAAAACTGCTACTACTAG